TACAAATTTTATTTAATTTTTTTAGATAATTTTTGAATTAAATTAGAACATTTTCCAAATCTTTTTTTTTATAATGCAAACTATATCCTTTTTTTCTTTTCATTTTTGGGATGACATATGACCCAAGACATGTTCTTTTAAGTTTTTTGTGCTTTTCACCCTCTTTTTTTACATTAGCAGAGGGAAACCGAGCTACTCCGTGCTAATGAATTCACTGCTCATTCAAACAGTCAACACAGACAGGAAACACAGGGGTGGATTTATGTAGCGTCGCTAATTGACAAGTGGAAGTGACATCACTATATGGATTCTACACCGGCGAATAAAATCTACAGAACTTTTTCCAGAAGCAAAGCTCTGTATAATTAGCTACGGTTTTTCTCCGAACCCGGATGGCCCGAACACCTCATGATTTACTGGCATGCAACATTACAACACTGATCGCAACAAAACGTGTGCATGCACATAAACATTCATCTCAACCCATACGCATTAAAGACCGATAACTAAAGGCACACAATTCTGTGGGAAAAGAAAGGCACTCAAGGCCTCTTCTAACTAATACACATTTGCTAGCAATTGGTTTGTGTATTTATTTGACGTTTTGCAGTGCTAAAATCCTAATAAGTGATTACAGCTTAAAAATATGTAATGTTTTCATTAACAATACTCAAGCATGTGTCCTTTAAACCGGCTAATGTGAGGACAATACAGTCAGATTATGTGACAGCATGAGCTCAGCCCAGATATTCGAGACAGGTTCAACCAGTTTAGTATCTATAGAGCTCCATGTGCACGCATGTACATTTATGCATGTGTGGAGGACAAATAGGATCATACAAATAAAATACATCACATTCCTAATTGGCAGTTCGTTTTAGACGTGACTGAGCCTTCAAATTACATGTAATTATTTATTTGGGGATTGAAAGATATAAGCATAATCAATATTATTGGAGATTTTTAAAATACATTTAAAAACAGTTACTCACTTCTAGAAAAGTGTGTAAAGTCAGAGAAGCTCAAAACTAGCACTTTACCGGAGTACATTCAAATTGTAGAGGGAATGGTGATGAAGGCACTGATTTCATTACCAAATTCTGTGCTATTAAGATATTTCTACATGGTTATATTCATTTATATTACATTAATATGAAAACCAGACTCAGCTACAATGGTCAATTGTTAAATGTGCAAAAACACAATACCGTTACAACTGATGTCATCCGTACAGTACGAACTGAAGAAAAAAAGTGTGTATTCTGAAAAACATTGTGCCAGAAAGGAAAACTAAATCAAGACATATAATATACTGATCTAACCTGCCTTTCTACCCAGCCTCTGTCCAATGAATGCACATTTTATTCACATTCCTCCATTTCCCATCTGTTGGTTTGCATGAAATGTGACATACAGTCCAGTGTATTTATGTTTTTTGGTCAAAAACTTTTTTTTTTTTTTTGTGGAGTTTGGTCCACATGGTCATTATGGAGATCATTCTGGAAAAGACCGGAAAGTTCTCTCACAACAGCAAGCAGCCGCTCCTCTTCTTCCTCTTGCGGACTTGCAGCGCCGCCCTGGTGGCCATTTCGAATACTTCCCTCACGCCGTCCTTAGTCTTAGCTGAGCATTCCAGGTAGCCGAAGGCGCTAATGCGATTGGCCATGTCCCTGCCCTCCTCCGGTTTAACCGGCTCCTGCAAAACAGATGAGTTGGAACTGAATCATCACATGCAATAAGATTTCGAAACAAATGACTGTTTAAACTTTGTGAATGATGGACGTCAGAATCGCACAGCACTGTCTGCAGCTAAAGGCCGACTTATGACATGCAATGTCAATTCTGCTCACTAAATGGATCGATTTAACGGAGGCCATCTGCCCAGATTATCGAACACAATCGCGGACACATTATTTGGGGGGCAAGGCACGCTAGCATCAGTCACTGGTTATTAGAGGTCGGACTGATTGTACGAGGAGTTTGACAAATGATAATGATCAGGCCTTCTAGAGTGGCAGTAACGCTAGCTGCTAAGAGCTTTTTAATGGGACTCCCCATAGTGGTGGTGCAGCCGGCCTCGGAAACACACCTGCTTCATCTTAGTCAGCTCTCTCCGTGTGTGCTCATCATTCCGCAGATCCTTCTTATTGCCCACGAGGATTATGGGAACGTTTGGGCAGAAGTGCTTCACCTCCGGCGTCCACTTTTCTGGGATATTCTCTGAGAGATCACACACATTAAAGATTCATTAAATTCAAATGAAGGAAAAAAAACACATTGGAACTGCTATATACACACAGAAAATGTACATAAAATGTACATTAAATAATAAAAAAGTAACATAAGATGGTGTTTTCAAACTTTTAAATATACATGACAAAAAAAAAAATCATAATATAAAACACACACACACACATACATGTATATAGAAAATGTAAATTGGATAATTTATATAAAATGTGCATGAATGAAATAAAATAAAAATAATAATGTAATATAATATGAGAGCGTTTCCGAACTTTTAAATATACAAGAATAAAATATTAATAATATATATAAAATGCATACACATGTATTTATGTGTGTGTGTGTGTATACACACAAAAAATACTCCAAAACTTTCATACGAGCATGAATATTAAAAAAATATATATTTTACATTATATTTTATAACTTTATAAAATATATTTTTATATATTTCCCCAAAGTTTCTCATGTACATGAAAAAAAAAAATTATATATTTATTTATTTTTATTCAGTTGTATTTGAAAGAAAGCCATTATATTTATTCAATTTTATATAAATAAATTATAATTAATATATGTAGTATTATAAAATAAATTGCATAAATGTATAAATATATATAAATATATATATATATATATACGTACCCACTGTATATATATATATATATACATACATACATACATAAAATGTAATACATGTATGTATATGTAAATATATATGTGTGTGTGCACGTACGTGTGTGTGTAATATAATAAATAGGATACAATATAATAAGAAAGAAAGTGTTTCTAAACGTTCAAACTGTAGGTACTGTAATTTGAAGAACAAATATGGTAACAAAAATGTGAAAAGGTTAAATAACACTTATATTTGGACTTATAGAACTTTGTTTTATAATGTGAATGTGACCCAAATAAAGTATGAGTGAAATAAGGGATTTGTCCCAACAAATCCAATCCTATTATTCAGAAGTAATTCATGTTTAGAGTCTTGGAAGAATAATGGTGGTTCCATTCCTACACTCATTTCACTGCTGGATGAATTATATGACTGATTTTTTTTTTATGCAACATTGATCTTATGAACTCTGCTGAATCATGCAGCTGAATTCTGACAAATAATCTCAGAACTGTCTGCGATAACTTTTAGGCAGCGGCTATTTGCACTAAGTGTAAACAGCAATTAGATTCTATTTACACTAAGTGAAAATAGCAGTATTTTTTAACGATATGCTATTTACACTAAGTGCAAATACATAGATTCTATTTACACTATGTTAAAATAGCAAGATTTTCTGCTATTTATACTACTTATAGCAAATAGTTGCAATTATCTGCACCTCAGTATTGTAGTACATTATAAAACAGTACGCAACAACGTATTGAGTGTAAATTATAATTTTAATTCAAATTATTAAATGGATGCCACCTTATTGGGACAATAAAGCCCTCCCTACACCTACCCTATTTATTTATTTTCAACTTTTTGATTATTTCCTTCATTTTTATTGAAAATAAATGCCTTTCCAATGCGATATGAGATTTGAAAAGTTCGGCAAAAGTTCGACAAAAGGCGGGTTTGAACTCGGGTCGATCGCGTCAAAAAGCACATGCCTTACCATCTACGCAACTGAAACTGATGTTTAACAAGCGTCTTTTTTCAGTGTTGACTTTCCCAATCACACGTTGGTGGGCGGAGTTAGTGTGAATAGCCTCTGCCAACAAGGCGGGCTATTCACACAGTGTAAATAGACACTCCGTAACTTATACGCATGCTAGTAAGTGTCTAATTAGTTCAAGCTTATTGTACACTTATTGTAACAGAGAAGAGAACCAGGATGTTCCTTCGGGAAGCTGGTGGAGATAAATGGCAATGATGTCATGGACACAAGAGTTATCATGATGCGCCTCGGCTCTTAGACAAAACACAGGAACTTCCTGCATACAGTGATGACTCAGTCAATCGTTTTTTTTTTTCCAGTAAGAAAGGCCTTGACCTAAATAAGGATGAGCCAAAATGAAAGATATGAAAAAGATTTTGGGGTTTACGGAAAATCTGATTACCTAAGCTGTCGGGACTGTCTATTGAGAAACACATGAGGATGACATCTGTGTCTGGGTAAGACAGAGGCCTCAGACGATCGTAGTCTTCCTGTCCTGCTGTGTCCCACAATGCCAGCTCCACCTGTGGATCAAAATTGGACAAAATGAGTCAAAGCTCAGTTTGAGCTTGACAGCTAGTCAAAGCCTTTATGATTTATTTATTTTCAACTTTTTGATTATTTCCTTCATTTTTATTGAAAATAAATGCCTTTCCAATGCGATATGAGATTTGAAAAGTTCGGCAAAAGTTCGACAAAAGGCGGGTTTGAACTCGGGTCGATCGCGTCAAAAAGCACATGCCTTACCATCTACGCAACTGAAACTGATGTTTAACAAGCGTCTTTTTTCAGTGTTGACTTTCCCAATCACACGTTGGTGGGCGGAGTTAGTGTGAATAGCCTCTGCCAACAAGGCGGGCTATTCACACAGTGTAAATAGACACTCCGTAACTTATACGCATGCTAGTAAGTGTCTAATTAGTTCAAGCTTATTGTACACTTATTGTAACAGAGAAGAGAACCAGGATGTTCCTTCGGGAAGCTGGTGGAGATAAATGGCAATGATGTCATGGACACAAGAGTTATCATGATGCGCCTCGGCTCTTAGACAAAACACAGGAACTTCCTGCATACAGTGATGACTCAGTCAATCGTTTTTTTTTTTCCAGTAAGAAAGGCCTTGACCTAAATAAGGATGAGCCAAAATGAAAGATATGAAAAAGATTTTGGGGTTTACGGAAAATCTGATTACCTAAGCTGTCGGGACTGTCTATTGAGAAACACATGAGGATGACATCTGTGTCTGGGTAAGACAGAGGCCTCAGACGATCGTAGTCTTCCTGTCCTGCTGTGTCCCACAATGCCAGCTCCACCTGTGGATCAAAATTGGACAAAATGAGTCAAAGCTCAGTTTGAGCTTGACAGCTAGTCAAAGCCTTTATGATCAATACAGCATGCTGGACTTCACTTGATGACTAATTTGCAATCAAATAAGTGACACAAAAGGAGAAATGCACTTATTATACATTTTAAGACCATATAAACCTAGTCTCAATAGGCGTCCCCTTAGAAGTGTACAACCCAAAAAATGAGGCAAAAAACAAGCCTTACACATTCCTAATAGGAAATGTTCTGGCTTAAGATGGCTAATTGGAAACATGTGCAACACAAGCCCTTTCTATTTAGACCTATACTGACCAGATATATTCAGAATATTAAGCCTTGACAAATGTATTTTAGCCTCTATACACTACAGATGCACCAGTATGGAATACCAATTAGACCAACAACCATTCTTATGCTACAGCCAGTAAACAAAATGGCTGACATTTAAAAATATTTTAAAATGTTATTTAATTATTATTCATTTGTTGCACATTTACAAATACATATGTTTCAAGGTAAAATGATAATTTATTCTTTTTTAGATTATTTGTTATAAAAAAAATTATAATTTATGTTTTTTAAAGACTCTGACAAGTCATGAGTCATGAGGTTCTACAGCAGCCTGGTATATAATTTCCTGTTTTATAGTTTTTCTGTCACATGAAAAAATGGCGTCCTGCATGTTTTCTATTTTATGTTGGTTTACTTAGTAATTAAAAAAAAAAATTTAAGTTAAATATTTACATATATTTAAATAAGCAAGCAAAATGAAAATATTTTCAAATATTTAAATTTCAACTGTTAATATTATTTTAAAACCAAGCTTTACGAATAAATTATTTAGCAAACTAAATTTAAAAATATTTAAAAATATTTAAATTTCAAATATTTTAAAACACAACATTAAAATAAATTTCAAATAATTAAATTTCAAATATTAATAATACTTTATAAATTAATTAATTATTTATTTATTAATTAACTTAAAAAAAAAAAACACTAAAAGAAACTTTTAAACCTTTTCTTTATTTTGTAACATGGTCAATGTGGTCATTTTTAAGTCATTGTATGTATGAAATGCATTCATCATTTTTTTTCCAATAAATTAACAGGTCTAGAGGGGGGAAACAGTGTCATGTTAAAAGTGTTATAAATAATGTAAAGTACAAAAAAAAATACGGAGAATGGAAATTTCAAAGTACTTTTAACCTGTCATAAAAAAACTTGATCTGCTTTCAACGGCAGATCAATGTTGATAATCTAAAAAAAAAAAACATGTATCATGTATTAGTGATTTGGTCTCAGATATACTGTAGATCCTTGCTGTAAATGCAAATGAACTTTAAGGTATCAAACCTTTGCATATGTCACTCTTCCCTCACATAATCTGTACAGGGCCACAGCAAGGCTTGGCTTATCCACTCACAAGCCTAATGAATTGAATTAGTCAAACAGATAATTAGAGGGAATCAAACTACATCCCTTCTGTTCTCCTGCAGGACCGAAGCTTAGCAATGAGGCTTCACAGCACCGCTGAGTCATACGCCGAGCCTGATGCCACATCGTTACACAACCTTTCCTCAATTCACTCAGAGACCAGACTATTTTTTTCTCCGCTGTGCACTGATCTGAAGCTCTACAGTATAATGATCTGTTCAGGTGAGGAATAAACAAGCCCATAATGCTTTGGATGACTCATAGTTTTTCAAAGGTGGCATCAACCAAAAATGAACGTCATATCGGTTGTAGACTGCGTTTTGGAGAAAGATTATGAAATCAAATGTCTTTTTTCCCAAAGGACGGAAAGATTTATGCTCAATCGCCAATGGGAAGCTTCTATATTTTGACAAACCAAGCAGCGTAACACCACTGAGAGAGCAAGGGGCTTTAGAAGAGATGCCATCCTGCTCCTTCAACATTTCCTGTGCTGGGGACACAGAATGAGCCCACCTTCCCGAAAAAACCCTCTTCCATCACAGGAAATGAAGTGGTCTGTTAATCATGCTATATAGGGTTGGCGAGTCACAGCGACAGGGGGCTGGATATCTCGAGTCCTGTCAGGAAACCAGAAAGAACAGCCATTTCCTGTTTTGCCAAGTCCCCTTTAGATTTCAGAGTGGTCAGGACTGCAAAATATATGGGCTACGTTTTATTTTGATATTATTTATATACTATTTGAATTTCAAAATGAAAGTAATTTTTGTCATGTGCTTTTGTCTTTTTTTTCTATATCTAATTTCTGTTTATTTCAGTTTTAGTATTAGTCATTTTAATTCTTCAACTTAACCCTATTTTATTTCAGCTAGTCACCAAGGCAACGTTACTAATTTTCATTTTTAACATTTTAGTATTTTTTTTGCTTTGTTGTGTTTTTCATTTTATACTTACAGTATATATATTATTTTATTTCAGCTTTAGTTCAATTCGGAAAATAGTTTTTAATAGTTTTAGTTCACAATAACAACACTGTTCCAAAACAATGACTATTATTTTACACTTACTGGCTCGATTGTTTGAATAAACATCTGGATAATGTATCTATACAGGATATAATGTCATCAGACTAAAATAACAACAACGTTCACGGATTCTTCACTGGTTTCAGAATGAACATGATGGTAAAACTGAAGGAAAATAAACTGGAAAAAAAAAAAACAACACGTTCTGGTTCGCTGACAGATCTCAGCTTGGGTTTCACAATCATTTTCAAAAGCAACCTAAACATCAATGACTGGAAATATTGTTAAGAGCTGTACAAAAACAGGCTGTGGGGGTTTGGAGGCGGCCAAGAATCAATACCAACCTGTTTGCTGTCGACTTCGATGTCTGCAATGTAGTTCTCGAACACAGTAGGCACATAGACTTCTGGAAACTGGTCTTTGCTGAACACTATGAGGAGACAGGTCTTCCCACACGCTCCATCTCCCACGATCACCAGCTTTTTCCTGATAGCTGCCATACCTGGGAGGGAAAAAGATGATTTGCTTTAACAACAAATTATGAAATGACTCTTTAATTCTTTTAAAAATAAGAGTTCAATGTAAAATGCAAACATGTTATAAGCTGGGTTCCAGTCCAAAAAGGCCGTCTTTGTGAACAAATTGTTCTTTTGATTCGGGTCTTTTCCAACAATCAGTTCACAAAACTGGCCAAATGATTCATTCATGCATCAGTCATCACTCTCATGAAGGAAGATCAAGTAATGTCCATCTATTAGTCACATCAAGCTATCTTATATATTCAGAAGTCATTTAGATCACTTTTATGGTGTTTTCCTTGGAACAGCTTCATAGAACCACTTTCATTATTTATATGAGTGGCTCTTGATTGGTCCTCCAAAACAACACAAAACTACTTGTGTTGCCTTTTTTAAATTGTAGCCCAATGTTTTCTTTATCATTCAGCCATGTGTTGTCTACCATAATAGAAAACAGACCTGAAGGCACATGCAAGCCGCTAAATCAAAAGCAGATGAGGAAAACATGTGTAGGTAAACATGATATGAACATCTGTTTAACATGAACCTGATAAAACTCGCCCTGCGGACACAATCCTCATGGGCTACAAAACACACAGCAAAATGCACACAAGGCTTCTGAACCCAACCAGATCTGTCAAACATACATGTGACGGCTATGAAAATGACACCTCTTTCAAACAGTCATCTTTTATTTGAATCACATACAGCATTCTTACAGTTTGAGTTCAACCTTGTAGTATGTCACATTTTATTTAACCTACTCAGCAAAGCCAATTTTAGTCACATAGCCTATGCCATTTGCGAGTGTTCATTTTGGACTCTGGTTACACAATTCAAATCAATTTGCGCTATAAACTGCAAATTGTCAGTTTGGCGGAAGAGAAAAGCATTTACTCATAATCAACTTGGCGAGATCTCGGAGGAGCATGTTTTATCGCATTAATCTGTCGCCAACATCAATTTCCACGTTTGCATATAGGAGCTAGTGGTAGTGTGATAATTCTGAGTGAAGTGACAGAGGTCTTTATGTGGGTGATGAGGGAGATTTGTCCCGCATCCATGATGAATGTGTGCCAGTAGGAAAGCACAGCTGTGCATATCCTTCCAAGTCACCCAATACTCATCTATTCTTCCTTAGTAACACACACTCTTCTCCACTGTCTGGGCGTATGTTAACACAACCACTTTATTTTTAGTACGGTCTGGGTTCTGTCTCTCTCACATGAAGCTTCATCCACCCACAGGAAATGCAGAGGTTTAGTTCCTAGTAAAAGAGAGGGATCACAGGGAAGGCTTCAGAAATAAATGGAGAAGTTGTCGTTTCCACGACAGTCTAAATCATACGAGTTTGTTGCACTAACGTGATACTATACAAAACATTTTTGGAGTAATTTATTGAAGAAAAGCCAAGTTCAATTCTCATGGTGGGATGCACAGAAAAAAAAGGGATGCAACTCAACTTAAAAGGCATAAAAAAATTATATGTACAGGTGCATCTCAATAAATTAGAATGTCGTGGAAAAGTTCATTTATTTCAGTAATTCAACTCAAATTGTGAAACTCGTGTATTAAATAAATTCAATGCACACAGACTGAAGTAGTTGAAGTCTTTGGTTCTTTTAATTGTGATGATTTTGGCTCACATTTAACAAAAACCCACCAATTCACTATCTCAACAAATTAGAATATGGTGACATGCCTATCAGCTAATCAACTCAAAACACCTGCAAAGGTTTCCTGAGCCTTCAAAATGGTCTCTCAGTTTGGTTCACTCATTCTAATTTATTGAGATGCACCTGTATATAAAATGACGCTTACTCTCTCGTTCAGTTATGCAATGCTCACATGCTCTGATAATAATAGTTTTGTAGGGCTATACATTATTTGGATAATTAGTCCAAACAAAAAAAAAAAAAGTTATATCTGATTCTGTTGCATAAAACTGAATAAACATAATATATTGATATTTAATATTAATATATTTTCTGTCCAATTTTATTGTATTACTTTCAATAAAAGTGTGATTATTTTATTGGCTTGTGTTTTTTTTTTAAATTCAGTATCACTTTTAAAGTTAAATCTTTTACAAAATTACTTTATAATATTTAATAAAGTAATTATTACAAAGCATTTTCAGTTTCGGTTTCCAGCCAAGTACTTCCAGAATTTTCGGTTTCGGCCCAGAATTTTCATTTCGGTGCATCCCCAATATAAATTGTTAATCAATC